TCAGACGCCAATTTAAAGTGAAAAGGTCAACGGTTATACAAGACACTTACTCTCCATTGGCCTCTAGCTCACAGATTTCAAAGAAGACCATCAGGTCGTATTTACAGTGGCACGGTCCTGCCGTGGGTCGTGTGAGAGCTGTCAGTTTGGTGGCAGGTACTATGCAGAAAGCAGAGGAAGACAGAGCGAGAAAGAGCGTCAAATCAATATCGCGTTAATCTAGAACAATGGATATAAAAATTCAATGGCAGATGAAAGGGATACTAGAGTTTCACAGGAGAGAGCAAGATATGCACCACAGCATAAGAGGAGGAATAGACCATAGTTAGAGAGGAGCAGCAGTGGGAGATCAGGAGTCCGATGTAAAGGCACACTGCTGTTAAGATGAATAAAGTCAAGTGAATTACAGTGATCCCTGAACATCTGCACATGCCAAGCAGAATTATTACAGGAATAATTCACCCTAAAATGAAAAATGACTTTCTTTCTTCCCTGGAACATAAAAGGTGAATTTCTGAAGAATATTCTGGCCACTTTCTTCCATGTAAGTTAACAAGGACTAGGGCTGTCGAACAACCAAATGACCAAAAAAAACAGCACCATAAAGGTATCATGAAAGTTATTCATTCATAACTCATATTACAAGCCTTGTTAATTCATATGATAGCTACATATTGAGATGAAACAGAGAACCAGATTAGTGATTCATTTAACTAGACGCAATATACAAAGCTAATTGAAAGAAATCAGACTTCTATACTTCTTTCATGTGCTTACATGAACAAGATGTCAAGATATTGTGCGGCCTCAGAAGATTCTTTTTTTTTTAATTCTTTGTGCTTTTTTAGTACAGCACCATAAAGGTATCGTGAAAGTTATTCATTCATAACTCATATTGCAAGCCTTGTTAATTCATATGATAGCTACATATTGAGATGAAACAGAGAACCAGATTAGTGATTCATTTAACTAGACGCAATATACAAAGCTAATTGAAAGAAATCAGACTTCTATACTTCTTTCATGTGCTTACATGAACAAGATGTCAAGATATTGTGCGGCCTCAGAAGATTCTTTTTTTTTTAATTCTTTGTGCTTTTTTAGTCATTTTGCAGTTTGACAGCCCCAGTCCACATTCATTTACATTATATTGAAAAAACAAAAACTGATCAAAACTTTACTTTGAAGTTCCACAGAAAAACAAAAGAATAAGATGAAGTGAGTAAATTATGACAGAATTTTCATTTGAGGATGAACTTTTCCTGTAACTCATACTTAACTAATACATATCATTATGAATACTTATCATAATTTTTTTTTTCAATTTTTCTCTTTCTGTAAGACAAACCAGTGAATATGATACTGTATATCCAGAGACAAGAAATCTAATAAAAACTAACAACCAATAACCAAATATTTAATAATAATGATCCAAAACTACTATCCTGCAGATATTAAGGGACCACTGCATCATCAAGCACAGTTTCAAGTGACAGAACCAGATTTACTCATGCACTGATACATTCTTATTCCAGCACTATTCATCAGTTTATTTCTGGTGAATGATGTCAGAGAAAAAGGCTAGAATTGTCCATCTGCTTGATGAGGTTTGTATGGAGAGGCTGAGGGAGAGAAAAAGACATACACCCACACACAGTATTATCAGGCCGAAACGCAGTCCCTGGAACAAAGCGTCCTTCAGTCTGTCAATGCAGAGAGTTTGTGTGACTCCCAGTGAATTGGGGAAAGTGAGTGGACACTTTGTCTAAATATCACCTATTTGTATGTTTAAAAAATCCAAGAAAATGTCCAAGTATAATTTGGAATAATTTAATAAAAGTTTGGAATAATTATGTTTTTCCAGATTGTCTCGTATGTTTACCAAGGCTGCATTTATTTGATAATATTGTTACAATTTAAAGTAACTGTTTTCTATGTTAATACATTTTAAAATGCAATTTACTCTTGTGACGGCAAAGCTGAATTTTCAGCAGTCATTACTCTAGTGCCACGTGATCCTTCCGAAATCATTCTAATATGCTGATGTGGTGCTCAAGAAATGTTTCTTTTCAGTGTTAAAAATAGCTGTGCTGCTTAATATTTTTATGGAAACAGAGATACATTACCATTCAAAAGTTCTGAGTAAGTATGAAAAAAGGGGGAAAAAATACTTTTATTAATCAAGGACGCGTTAAATTGATCAAAAGTGACAGTAAAGAGATTTATAATGTTACTAAAGATTTCTATTTCAAATTAATGCTGTTCTTTTGAACTTTCTATTCATCAAAGAGTCTGAAAAAAGTACCACTTTTTCTATACAAATATTAAGCAGCAGCACAAACATTGTCCACATGATAAGAGATGTTTCTTAATCAAATTGTATATGTTATGTTATATTATATTATTACAAGTGCATTAGACAGACCAGAGGTTCAGTTTCAGGGACATTCTTTGGCCTTAGGCACTCAGAACCATTACAGACCCGGCTTCTGCGCTTTTATTACTGAACAGATAGACAAGGGTGGGGCCGGCAGTCTGGCTTGCTCCTCCCCCTCAAGGAGGTAGGAAACAGCCATGCCTGCTGCATTGAGGGCGTGGCTTGACAGCGAGTCCACCAGAGCCCCACTGAAGACCTCTGGCAGCAGGTGGCGAATCAGCTCCAGGTTCTTCTCCCGATCAGGAGGGGTGTCGTTATCTGCGGCTATACCCACCACCAACAACATAAAGACTGTGACATGGGCACATGAACCCCAAACAGCAACATAAAAAAGGCAATACAACAACGAAGCAAAGAATATGTGCTAAACAGCTTCAGCCTGGCAGGACACATCTATGTTAATGTTCATAAAAAATGGTCATATACATTCATTGCCCTCACCTGGTTTGGAAAGAGGCATGACTCTCGGGAACTGTCGTCTGCATGGGCGCAATGGGCTGAAAAAAAAATTCTGGCTGTCATTTCAGTATATTTGATGGATGAATCCAGACATTTGTAGCATGTATTAATCAGAGTTGGAAATAATAAATATCGCCAGGATCTACCTAATGAGATCCTTGCAGAGCGAAGGGAAAGGCTGCTTTTGGTAATGTCCAAACACTTCAAACACGATTGGCTGAGTCTTTATGTACTCTATAAAGGACTTAGTCACTTCCACGGCAATCTGGAAAATCAGAGAAACAAGTGTTTTACCCTCAGTCTAATAAAAACAGTGTGACGTGGAGCTGTGTGTTACAGTTTAAAACTCACATTCTGCACATGATAGAAGCCAAGTGGTGGACCACGTCCAGTGTTCTTCAACGGCTCTGTGGAAAACGCTTCATCGTGCCTGTGAATAAAACTACAAACGAAGAGTTTAAAAAAAGTAAATTAGATACAGAACAATGACAAGTGTCCGCTAGTGGAAACAGACTTCAGAACAGAACAGAGGCACTTACTTGAACTGGCAGAATATGTCTGCATATTCTGCGGATATGCTTGACGCCTGCAGCACAGTAACTCTGAATGTAAAGGCTTCTCCGATCCTCAAGTGATCCAGAGCGCCATCCGGTACGCCATCAAGACCGGTTTTGACAGGGCTGTCCAGCTCCTCTGTGTTAGCTATGAAAAAACACATGAAAGAAAAGATGTCAAGTCAAAGAAATATGAAAACTCCATGGGACGGTTTTGACAGGGCTGTCCAGCTCCTCTGTGTTAGCTATGAAAAAACACAAGAAAGAAAAGATGTCAAGTCAAAGAAATATGAAAACTCCATGGGACAGCTGAAACTGGCATTTAGATTCAGACTTCAGAAACACAAAGTTGTAGGTCATGTTTCCACTTACACACACTACTGTTAATACTTTTATTCATACTTTTACTTTTTTTTATTTGATCAAAAGAGGCAGTAAAGACAATGATTTCTATTGCAAATAAATGCTGTTCTTTCTATTCATAAAAGAATCCTGAAAACATTTATCATGGTTTCCATAAAAAAATATTAAGCTGTACAACTGTTTTAACTGTGATAATAATTATATAATAGGCTTCTTGAGCATATTAAATGTATTCAAATAGAAAAAGCTATTTTAAATGACTGTTTTACTTGTTTTTGATCAAATAAACATAGCCTTGGTAAGCATAAAAGACAAAAACATCACCCAATGATGTAATCACAATTTTCATTTAATATGTTCCGAATGTTCTATGTTGCTTACTTGCACAGGTATTATTGTTGACCTCATCTGCTGACAGTGACATCTCTGCATTTTGGCCCTCACCCTCCACAATTCGCAGCTCTTCCTGAGATACAGCAGCACGTGAAAGACCAGAAGGACAGGACTCTGACTGGAACTGATCAACAGGAAAGAGAAATACCTTAAGTAAGATGCCGTCGTATGAATATCCACATTGACAAGTGTCCAGTGTACATTGTACTTTCGAGCAATGAATTCACATGTTTTTTTCCATGACTGGACTATAATTAGCAAACATAGAAAAGCTTATATTGGCTATGCAGATTTCCATGACTTTATCATGACCCTTTTAAGATTTAATTAATTTCCATGATTTTCCAGGATTGGAGATAGCACTTTTAAATTCTCGGATGTTTCCAGGTTTTATAGGACCATAAGAACTCTGTTGTATTCTGAATGCTGGTTCTCAGCATCTCCAAAAGGCTACAATCATACTGGTCAACCAGCTTGACAAGAAAGACCATTTAAGCTAGTAAAAAGAAGCCTGGACTGACACTGAAATTTAAGCTGGTCTCTTCAGCTTGGTCTACCCTTTCTGTAAAATTGCTTCATTATAGGTGTTTAAATGTAAATACCTTCTCAAACTGCTGGTCTTCAAAAGAAATCTTGGCAGTGCCTGACTGTCGGACACCAGAGCCATAGTCTGGTGCCTCTTCATCAGCTGGAGGAAAAACCAGAGCACCTTCACATCACTTCCTCAAGAAGTCACACACAGTTTGCCCTTCATACTGTATATACAATCCCTCTGGCCTACATACATCCTCTAACACCAAAAAAAAAATTCTGTTCCCTTAAACTAATGATAAATCACTACATATCGGCCATCTACATATATATATACAGTATCTCACAGAATTGAGTACACCACTCACATTTTTGTAAATATTTTATTATATCTTTTCATGTGACAACACTGAAGAAATGACACTTTGCTACAATGTAAAGTAGTGAGTGTACAGCTTGTATAACAGTGTAAATTTGCTGTCCCCTCAAAATAACTCAACACACAGCCATTAATGTCTAAACCGCTGGCCACAAAAGTGAGTAAACCCCTAAGTGAAAATGTCCAAATTGGGCCAAAAGTGTCAATATTTTGTGTGGCCACCATTATTTTCCAGCACAGCCTTAACCCTCTTGGGCATGGAGTTCACCAGAGCTTCACAGGTTGCCACTGGAGTCCTCTTCCACTCCGCCATGACGACATCATGGAGCTGGTGGATGTTAGAGACCTTGAGATGCTCAATAGGGTTTAGGTCTGGAGACATGCTTGGCCAATCCATCACCTTTACCCTCAGCTTCTTTAGCAAGGCAGTGGTCGTCTTGGAGGTGTGTTTGGGGTCGTTATCATGTTGGAATACTGCCCTGCGGCCCAGTCTCCGAAGGGAGGGGATCATGCTCTGCTTCAGTATGTCACAGTACATGTTGGCATTCATGGTTCCCTCAATGAACTGTAGCTCCCCAGTGCCGGCAGCACTCATGCAGCCCCAGACCATGACACTCCCACCACCATGCTTGACTGTAGGCAAGACACACTTGTCTTTGTACTCCTCACCTGGTTGCCGCCACACACGCTTGACACCATCTGAACCAAATAAGTTTATCTTGGTCTCATCAGACCACAGGACATGGTTCCAGTAATCCATGTCCTTAGTCTGCTTGTCTTCAGCAAACTGTTTGCGGGCTTTCTTGTGCATCATCTTTAGAAGAGGCTTCCTTCTGGGACGACAGCCATGCAGACCAATTTGATGCAGTGTGCGGCGTATGGTCTGAGCACTGACAGGCTGACCCCCCCACCCCTTCAACCTCTGCAGCAATGCTGGCAGCACTCATACGTCTATTTCCCAAACACAACCTCTGGATATGACGCCGAGCACGTGCACTCAACTTCTTTGGTAGATACTGTATATATATATATATATATATATACATTTAATTTATTGAATATTAAATTGTGCATGATCATTTCCCCTGATTTTACATTTACATTACTACTGTCATCAATTAACTTAAAATTAATCTTTAAAAATACTATTAATTTAAATTTAATTGATTCAATGCTTTGATACTACACATTGTAATGATAGATGGAAATATGTATCACTCACCAGTAGGTTCTGCAAGACACTTGCAGTCCCAATCTTACCTGATATTGCCTGTACAGCTACTCTGAGGAAACCTTTGACCTCTCCCTTCTCATTGACAATGGCAACGCGATGGACCAAAGGCACAGGATAGAGCAGATTACTCAAATACACAAATGCCCTAAAGGAGAGAGGGAAGAACAAAATGTGTGTCCAAGGGATCGACCGCACAGCAAACAGGACAAACACAACATTGAGCAACATACAGACACAAGCAGGCACTGCTGCGGCCCTGGACATGATTATTCCTCACAGATCAGGCTACATGATATAAAACAGGTAGGTGCGAGTGTTTTTAACTGATTTTGGGTGAGTTTAAGAAGCATGGGATTGAAGTGAAGATAAACCCTAAAAACAATACAGAAAAGAAATCTGAGACCACATTTTAAAAATTGGGGATTACTTTTCATTGAAAACTATATAATAAACAAAGGTTAAGGATTTTGAAAAACGTAATACACACTATGGCTCAAAAGTTTTTTTTTTTTTAAAGAAATTAATATGTGTATTCGGCAAGGATGCATTAAATTCATCATATGTAAAATGTATGATATTGCAAAAGATTTCTATTTCAAATAAATGATTTTGATTCTGAAAAAAATGTATCACGGTTTCCACCAAAATAGTAAGAAGCACAACTGTTTTCAACACTGATAATAATAATAGTAATAATAAATATTTCTTAAACACATCAGCATGTTAGAATGATTTCTGAAGGATCATGATACACAGAAGTCTGGAGTAATTGCTGCTGAAAATGCAGCTTTGCCATCACAGGAATAAATTACAATTTAAAATATATTCAAACAGAAAATATTTATTTCAAATTCTAATAATATTTTACAATATAACTGTTTTACTGTATTTTAGATCACATAAATGCAGCATTGGTGAACATAAGTTCTTTCAAAAACAATAAAATATCTTACCCACCCCAAACGTTTTAACGGCAATGTAAATAAAGAAATGCTTAAGATTTCATACTATTTCTACTGCAAGTAACACTGAACAAAAAGTACACTTTGAACAAAAGGTCCCGTTTTCTTGCTTCCACACAACACGTTTTGGAACAAAACATGCTGAAAATAATGTTAATTTCTCAATTCAGCCTTTCACTCAAATTAATGTACTCATAACATTATTTGTAAATGTGTAAAGCAAAAAAAGTAAAGCATTTTGACTAGTGATCTCAAATTTTTGGACTTCACTATATGTGTCAAATGTACAATATATTACATGGAGTGACTCGTGTTTTTGTGTAAATGATTGTGGGGAATTTGGATAATCCTGATATCCTTGAACCAGAAACAGGACTGTTTATATGTTTATTTAAAAACCAAAGATAGACATTTAATAAAAAAAAAAAAAAGATATATAGTTGATATTGATAATTAACAGTTTTAAATCTCAACCCTAACTCTGTTTGTTCTTAATCCATCTTCCGTCAAGGACTACATTGCCCATCCTCCATGTGTAGACAATGAATGATACGGTAGTGCTGAACAAAAAAGGGGTTTTGGTGAGGTATAAAAAAGCATGCTTGTGACAAAAAAGGTGAAAGAGAAGACATAAAATGTAACAGTACTGGACAATGTGAGCGTGAACAGACAATACCATTAGCAAATACCAAAAAATTGGTAAATAAGACCATACTGTCACAAATGTGCAGTGCATTGCACAAGCGCAACTTAAAAGAGTGAGCCAATTCATCAAAGGTTTCCATGTAAAATCTCACAAAAAAGGTCGAAATACGGCATATGATCTCACATGCCCAGAAGAGAGACAGCTGTGCTAGAAACCAGCTCTTTCATCTTGAGATATGTGAACACTCGAAGTAACCAAACGGCTGTAATACGGGAACCAATTAGTAAGTCATTAGATGAATAGCTATTTTCTCATTCATCAGACATTCGTGCCATGTAACCAAAATCTGGTCTTTTTTGTTTCTGCGGTACACAAAACAAACATCTAATATGAGTGTTTGGAGATAGCACTTCAAAGCTGACGGACCCCTTTGAAGAAGTGATGCGGTGCATGTAAAGCTGGGACACAGACCTTGGCGTGACACGAGAGCCATAGCTGCGCTGGGTGGTGCCGCTGACATCCAGCCAATTCTGATTTCAATGATCACAATCATTAGGTCGAAATGAAACCCAGAAGCTCAAGGTGTGTGTCTGCAGCGATCAGATGAAAGTCAAATGTATGATAATGGGAGAAGACGGGGTAAAGTCCAGACATGCTGACTAAAATCCAGGAATCCTTCCCATGGGAAAAACAAAATCACATAAGAGATCTTTTTAATATCGTAGAGGTTTCTTACTCCTCAGATTTTTCTTCTGAACTAAAGACCTTTATAATCTCACATGTCTCCTCAAGAGATTTCAGCAACGTCACAAACAGATTTACCAGAAGGGTCATTGACAAATAAGAGCGGTCAAGGTAAATAAAAGTAAAGTCTTTTTAAAAAATTGTATAAAACACATGTGCTCTCAATGCTTAGAAATGTATTCAAGTTGCTTTCATAAGATGACATCTGGTGTAACCATCAAATAAAAAGTCTGCACATCTTAAACATTCTTTTCAAAACAAGTTTTCCAATATATATATTTTTTTAGGTTAAAAATATTTTTGGACATATATCATGAATTATTAATTCACAAATATCATGTTTTTTTTTCGCATCATGTGACAACCTGAACAAACCCATTACGACTTGAAATAACTTTAACTCATCATACAGTAAATACGTCAAATTACTTTATATTTTAATATACTTAACACACAGTCATGAGGGTCTGCAGGGGTCCTCTCTATGATATAATTTCCTGTTTTATTTCTGCATATTGATCACACCACGTGACTTTAATTTGACAAACAATGTTTTTAAAATATTTCAAAATATTATGTCAAACTACCTTGGATTTTATTATAGTTTTATAATTTATATTTATAATATTATATTTATAATATTTTTAGATTTTCTTTTCTGAGTACTTTCTGAGTACATTTTTATTCACGTCATTGACCAAACACCAAAATCAACAGTCAGAGAGAAAAAAAAGCCCTCAATAAATTCAACATTCTCCCTTGTCCATTTATTTCATAGCTCTGTATTTATTGGTACTGGAGGTCAACAACGGTCTCAATTGTGTCTACTTTACACTTCTTTATCTTAAAGTTCACCCAGAAGAGATGAACAGACTAAGTTCATTTTAAATTCAATTTATTCTCATTGTGTGTGCCTCTGTGTGTGTGTATACACTATCATCCTTTATGCATATGTCTAGCATACACCTTTTTAAGGTATGTGTTTGTATAAATATAAGCGTTGCCATTAAATAAGCAAAAATGTTTCAAGTTTAAGTGTTTATATATTTATCTCTGTGAGTGCTGTGCACACACAATGTGTTTAAAAAAGGAAGAGCAACCCAGTCTCAGTGTGAAAGAGCTAGTTTCCTTTCCCAGCACGCTCCTGAAACCTCACCAACCTTCCCACTACACTGAACAATGGCGAGCGATCGTAAAACGGGTCCTCAGCTTTGCCGGAGCTTCTGCAGAGCTCTCCCTCATCATCATCATC